CCCCCAAAAAAACCCCTCCGAATACTGAATAACTTGTAAGACCAATAAAGAATAGATTAACCATGTTCTTATGAATTTGAAATCTGATCATCACTTTTCTGCCTAGATTCAACTGGCATGATGACAAACTCGAACAGCTGAATAACCATGAAAAGGAAACACGGTCACCAAAAGGCTACATATAAAAAGGTCTTACCGGTATTTTAATTTTTTTGCTTATCGAGAAGGAAAAAAAGGCTACCCATAAACAGGAACAAATTTAATCAGCTTTTATTTAGAGAAGAATATCATATTCAGTAATACCTTATGACCAAAAAAATGACCAGCAGGGTCACACTTGAAGAGCTGGGGTCCTTTCTCCTCATCAATGCCCAAAATCATAGCAACTTTGCATCGAAAAAGAAAAGCATAAAACACGGATGAGTAAAAATGCAAAAGCAGAAAATGTGTTCCCCCCTTCCTCACCGCCGACACCAACAACAAGAAAAGAGAGGGAAGAGACGCTTCACAAAGATCAAAAGGGACCAGGAACAAACCTACTCCAAGGGGTCTCATATAGGCATGCTGTGTGTAAACCTGAGACTTGTCTGCAATCCTGCAAATACATGTTCCTTAGCACATGATAAATTTATGAATTCTAGCTAATGTGTTTTAAATAGTGTCAAATCGAGAGCATTCGTAAAATTTAAGCTACTTAACTTGCTTCCTCTAATGAATCAAAATAAAGAACCCATAGCTTCAGAAATTAAAAATTAATGGAGGACAAACATATAAGATAGATGGTGTGTCAAAGCTACTTCCACCCTACCAATAACCAAAAAATGGCACTCTGGTTAAGTACCAAGAGAAGAATATAACAAAGAAAAAGGAAATACCATTTAGACAGTACATCCACTGGCATTTCATATCCATATTTAAAACGAAACTCAGCAGCTTCATTTCGAGCTTGTTGAACCAAGGTTCTCGCATCAGCTGAAATTGAAAATATGTCAAAGCACAATATGGAAACATAAGCTCAGGAAGGAGCTCTGTGATTCTATTCTCATAGTCAAAAATTGAACGTGATATGATCCATAGCTAGATAAACCTAGAATACAATAAGTGGACAATCTTTGAACCATAACTGTCTCTAGTTAGTTCATAAACCAATAGCCTTAGTAGCAAAGTGTTTTCTTTTGGCTTTTGGGTTAAGCAACAGTGCTGAAAGAGATTGATAGGCATTCCTACTGGAACGTTAAGGGAGGGAGCAAGTTCTCACATTTTTGTGAACAAACAAACACTATCACAAAAGGAAGATATAGCAATAAGTTTCCATTTACTTTCAGAAGAAAAGGTAGACAGATCTATGAAGAACCTTTGTTAACTGATAGTTTATTAACCAAAGCTTTAAATCACTATATTCCATACAGTCTCCTTGAACCCAATAAAAGAGTGCAAACCTGTCATGCCAGTAGCCAATAGTCCAAGATACTTGGTAATCGGGAACAAGTGGGATACACTGGTCTGATCCAATAGCTTGTCCTGCTCAGCCAAAATACACACAACTTCAACTCCATATTAGGTCCATATTCCCAAAATTACATGTCTACTTTCCGGAAACATCGAGTAAATATAAATTGGCTATACGAGAACAATCTACAATACCTGATTAATATATTCAAAAACTACGGATTCTTTTTCTCACAATTTCCGACAACCTTCGTTATATTATTTATCCAATATCAATTGGAAAATAAATTTAGTACTCCATCAATTACTCAACTATACCATTGATCAACTAAGCCTAAATTCCAAACTAGTCGGGCTCAATTTTATGAATCCTCCACATCTGTTCCGCTTTATTCAAGCCTGGTTCATTGGAATACTTAAAAGAAATCAACTTCTATACACTGACAGTGTAAAATATTTACAGATTCAAGTCACATAAAAAGTAATTACACGTAACTCTATTTAATAGCATTGATTGATAACCTAAAATAAATAGTAAGTAACCTGCTACAATAAGTTAATTACACTGATGGTGTAAGAGAATCATTACATTGTCAATGAATATGACTTAAATTCTACCAAAAACTCTGTCTTTATTCGAAAATTAAGAGCTCTTGAGAACTAGAGGTTCTCTAAATCTCTCAGAAGTAATTGCAAGCAACTCTATTTGATAGAGTTGATTGATAACCCAGAATAACCGGTAAGTAACCTGCTACAACAAGTTAAATTACACCAAAAGCTCATTTCTTTGAAAACTTACACCAAAAGATATCATGTTGTTAGTATACATAACTTAAATCCTACTAAAAAGAACTTGTCTTTGATAGCAAATTAGGAGTTCTCTAAATCTCTCACTTGTCCTTACACGACCATACAAGTCTCTAAACAGAATAGAAAAAATCATTACAGTGTATATAATTTAAATCCTACTAAGAATTTTGTCTTCGATCGTAAATTAGCTCTCAAATACTAAAAGTTCTCTAAATTTCTCGTGTATCCTTAAACGAACATACAAGTCTTCTCTAAACAGAACAAAAAATACTCATAACTTAAATTAACTAAAATTTCAAACTTACAGGGACTTTCTTCTGAGTAACAACACAAACGGAGTCCTTTCCACGGACGCCAATAGAGGTAATTCCGGCCGCCTTCACAGCCTTAAACGCATATTCTGTTCACAAAAAAAAAAAAAAAAAAAAAAAACTAAAAACTTTTCAAAATAACAGATAATCAATAAAATGACGATTTCACTGAAGAAAAATAATCGTATTTTGGCTATGAAATTTGAATCGAATTTAAAAAAATGAAAAATGCTTACCGACTTGAAAGAGACGACCTTCGGGAGAGAAGATCGTAATGTGACGATCGTAGCCGCCTCCACTCCCTCTACTCATTTTTAGATTGTTAGATTTACTTTTTTGTTTTTCAGTTCGATCTGATTACTTGATTCAGACTGGTTAGGGTTTTTAAGAGAAGAAGGTAGATATCGAAGTGGAGAAGAAGAGAAATCTTTGTTCCCAAGACAACTATTTTGGGTGTCTACACGAAGTTACAAAATTGCCCTTCTTTAGGCCTTGTTTGTATGATTGACTATGATCTATTTTTCAAATTGATCAAAAAATACTGCACGAAATTTAAGAAACAATTTTATATTTTTAAAATTTTTTGTCTAAAACAATTTTAAAAATATTCTACTATGATTATTTATTATCTCATTGAGGAAGAGAAAAACAAGAGGAAGAAAGGAGTTGTTGAAGTATCTATCTATACTATATTAAAAGCACGAAGGCCCTTAGCGAAATGTCGTTCGTCTTTTTTGCCCCCCTAAAAATAGTGTTCATATTGGACAAGATTGTAATTAATTATTTTTCTAATATTTAGGATTTGAAAATCAAATAAATTTATTCTTATCTGATCTATGTAGAACTCCTAATATTTAAGAGTTTGAGATTGAGTAAGATTTTACGTCAAAATTTTTTATAAATTAGTCCAAGTAATAACACCTCCCTTTTAAGTTCCTTTCACGTTAAGTTATGAATTCTAACAAGGAAATAGGACCGAAATCTATAATTATTTCTTTAAAGAGATAGTTTTATAAGGTAAAATTTTAATGAACTTTAAAATTCTAAATATTATAAATTTCTACCTAATTCAAATAAGAAAAGATTTAATAATTTTTAATTTAATTTTAAAGCTATAAATATTGGAACATATCTAATGTGAAATTAATTTATAAAGGTAAAAAAGATGAACGATATTTTGTTAAAAATAAAAATTTAAAATAAAATAATATTATTTAAAATATGTGTTTGCATTATAATATAAGACTTAACGAAAATTTGCAAGTTCTAAAATGATAGATGTTATTCGTGAATAATGTACAAACTCAAATATTTAAGTATTTAAATTATATCATTAAAACTATCTAACTAAATTCAACTTTATGTAAACTCATATTAATTAAAACTTCAAATGTAAAAGGAACTTTCCACGTTATAAATGCTTGGATAAAATTATTGCTAAATTTAAATATTTAAAGCTTAGATGAGCTAATATAAATTTGAATCAACAAAAAAATATTTCCTTTAAGGTTGGGAGAAAATAATTAATGTCTAAATTAATTAACTAATTAGCAATTAAAAGTATCCAATTCAATTTATTTCCAAATTAATTAAATAAGTAAAAATTATTTTTCAAGTTGAAAAACTACTAGGCTACATAAAATTGTTTTTATAAGAAGAGCATTGGTAGTTAACGATGTAAAAATAAAACAAAATAATTATTCTATAGTATTAAAAGTCAAATTGGTAAAAATATAAAGTTAAATCAATAATAATAAAACAGTAGTAGATAAAATGTATTCTTAAATGAATGAATTGGTATTAATTTTTTTGTTTCTTTTCACGTTCATTTCAACACATGATAGCTCTCTATATTTTTTTTATATTAAATTATTTTGGTAAAATATTAAGGCAACATTAGTAATTTAGACTTTGCATCATTAATTACCTATCGATTTTTTTTTATTTTCAAATCTCTAAAATACCAAACGATTTAACTTTTTAATTTATATTTTTAAAAGATTTTTTTTGATTTATTCGTTTTCAGTATTAGGTAAAAGAAAATAAGTTTAAACTCACAATAAGGCATCTAAGGACTTTTGTGGAGCAAGCTTTTTTCCATTGAGTTAGCTAAATGAGATTAGCATTCATTATTTTCAAGAACTTATCCTTTTTAAAATTTTATTTTTATACGTGATTTTTAAAATTGTGTATCCCTTAACATAAATACACGCGCAAAGCGCGTACTCTAAGACTAGTAATGTGTAAAAATAGCACGGTCTAGCCAGTTTTCGAACTAGTCATTCAAAAATAGCCAGCTATTACCAAGTCAATGAAAAATAGCCACTATTTTGCTGCAACAAAGACCGGTCCAGCATAATATACTGGAGTTCGGTGCACCTGTGTATGAACTTCCAGCATATTATGCTGGAACTCCAACACACGGAAAGTTCCAGCATAATATACTGGAGATTCGAGCACTTGTGTATGAACTTCCAGCATATTATACTGGACCGGTATACTTGTTGGAACTCCAGTATATTATGCTGGAGTTCTAGTGTACTTATGTTGTAACTCCATCATATTATGCTGGAGTTCTAGCATACTTATCCTGGAACTCCAGTATAATATATTGGAGTTCAAGTATACTTATGCTGGAACTCCAGCTGGCGTATTTTCCAGGTTTTGAACAGTGTTTTCGCTCAGATTTACCTTTACATGAAAAGTGGCTAAATTTTGATTACTTTTGAAACTGGGCTATTTTTGAACGACCACTTGTAAATCTGGCTATTTTTGAATTTCTCCTGTATAATGTGCTAGGGGTGGCAATTTGAGCCCAAACCCATATCCAACTCGTCCATAGATTAATGTGTTGTGCTACAAATATTTTAGCTCATGGGTCTATTTGGGCTAAGCCCAAGTTAAGCCATCGTTTTTTATAACCCATTCTGACCCATGAAGTAGCCCAAATACAACCCATAAATCTCACCCGAAACAAAGGAAGTTCAACCCAGCTTATTTAGAAATTTACTTAGTTGCCTCATCATTAGTTTTTGTATCTAAGTTTAAAAATGAGAATCATGGCATTTAAGTTTTAATGTAAATATGAATAATTTTGTAATTGAGTTGTGGTGGAATTTTTTTTTTTAGAAATATCATAAAAGATATTTTTCAACTTACAAATTTTAAATACTAATTTGTTATTTAAGAAAATATATTTTGATTCTCAAAATGAGTAGTATTTATTTACCTTTTATACATAGGTGTATAACAGGTAAAAGTCTTTGTTTATGCAAGATGAACATGATTCTAAAGCATGGATCAAGTTGGACGGGTTGGGTTATGACCCATTGTTTAGCCCATCTTGACTCAGCCCATCTTAGCCCAAGTACACTTTGTGCTGTGTTAGGCAATGACCTATTTATTGACCTAACCCATCTTGACCCGCTCAAATTCAGCTCAACCCGCCCATTTGCCACCCCTAAATGTGACTAAGAATTTATTTTTACTTATATATACTACTTTTTAAACTTATTTACCTTCAATATTGAAGTTTTAACTTGATTACAAGTTAAAATAAAATTTACCATTTATATACAAAATAATATATTAGACTCCACTTTTACCCATTTCCTTCACTTTTTTCCTTTCCCATTACACAAAACTAGTAATTGTACTCGCGCAATGCGTAGTCAATATTAATTAAATTAAATAGTGATCGGGCTTGTTAATTAGATCGTATTGGTTTAGTAAATTTCAATTGTCATCTTATTTGTCAATGTGATATACTAATAATAGAATCGCTATTAAATTAAAGGGACTTATATAGCCACTGGATAAATTTTTTTGTATATTTTTTAATTATATTATCCAATATTTACTATTTTCTCATTGTTAATAGTAGTTGTACCCGCGCGATGCGCGGTCAATATTAGAAAATATTAATTAAATTAAATTATGATCGGGATTGTTAATTAGATCGTATTGGTTTAGTAAATTTCAATTGTCATCTTATTTATCAATGTGATATACCAATAATAGAATCGCTATTAAAGTAAAGGGACTTATATAGTTATTGAATAATTTTTTTTATATATTTTTCTTTATTCTATTATCCAATGTTTACTATTTTCGCATTGTTAATAGAAATTTTTATTTTTTGTAATTTTAGTTTTATATTTTAAACTAATTAAAAACTACAACTTGAAATTATTTTTCAATTTGAATGGACAGTTTATTTTATTAATTTTCATTTTTTATTAAAAAATATTTTAATTTAATATTTTATAGATATTTAAAAGTCAAAACAATAACCAATAACTAATTATTAACTATATATGCCATGTTGCTTTTTTTAGGCTGCTCTTGGCTTAAGGAGGTGGTTTTTTCCTCTCTTTTTAATAATATATAGATATATAGATATCATGTTGTTCTCAATAATATTATTTGAAAATTGATGAATAAATTCTCTATTAAATTAATGAGACTTTTATAGGCATCGAATAACTTTTTGTGTTCTGTGTTTTTTTAATTATATTATCCCATATTTAGTATATTGCATTATTAATAGAAACTTTTATTAGCATATTACTTTATTTAAATTTTTGTATGTTTTTTTTTGTTAAACTGAAAATTTTATTTAACCAAGTGTGAATATGTACAACCACCCGCTCATTGGACTCTAGAGACGGGTCTCATAAAAATAACCTATCCTTCGTATTCACTTAAGTTCCAAAGTTGGAACTCAGACTCTGTGCTAACATATCTATTTATCATATCTAGATTTCCCTCCATTTATAGTGTCTTTCTCCCTTAATGTGCAATTGCAAGAAAATTTCTCTAACTCTATCCCTATTCTCTTTTCTTGCATTTTGAAATCTTCTAAGGTTTCTTTCCATCCATATATAGTATACTATTGCTGCGAAAGCACTCCTCAATATCTTCCATTGTATGCTCCTGCTTGTAACGACCCGACAGGTCGTTTTGAGCTCTAGCGCGTCGGTTGGCGGTTTGAGGTCATGAGCAGCTTCACTTCAGTTATTATGAATTGTATGTATGGTCATAATCGAAATTCGGGAAGTTTGGATTGGATTTGGAAAGGAAATTCTCATTTCAAGAGCCTTAAGTTGGAAGAATTGACTAAGATTAGATTTTTTAGTAAACGACCTCGGAATCGGGATTTGAAGGTTCCGGCAGGTTCGTATGATGATTTTGGACTTGGGCATGTGTTCGGATAAGGTTTTGGATGACCCCGGAGCGTTTCGGCGCCTATTGTGGAAATTAGCATTTTTGGGCGAATTTATAAATTTGGGATGCATTTCAGTGTTAACGATGTCCGTTTGGGATTCTAAGCCTGGGAATAGCTCCGTATGGTGATTCTGGTATTGGGAGCGCGATCGGAAGTGGATTTTGGAGGTCCGTAGGTCATTTTGGAGTCATTTGGCTGAAGTTAGAAATTTGAAGGTTTTTGAGAAGTTTGACCGCAAGTGCTTTTTGATATCGGGGTCG